GGACAAGAAAACACAGGTACCATTGTAGATTGTTTTTCTCTGGTTGGTGAAATGAATGACTGTCCAGGATGAAGCTTTAATCCTATGAACACAGCTTCTTTCATTTCCATACCTTTCTACCCTTCCTGTAACCTTACCTCAAGGCATCTACCCCTGCACATGCCCATTCTCTCTGCTTTCTTCCTTCTCATTCATTCCATACTATGTATTAACCATCACTTCTCCTCCACCCCTCGCTGTCTTTCATTCTCCTTTTCATCTATTTTTCCTCTCCTTGTCTTCCACATTCTTGTCACCTTCGCTTTGTGAGCATGTTTTGAGGAAAGAGCTTTCCTTTCTTGTTCTCTTTTATATTCACAGGCGCACACAGAGTCAAAATGAGGCCAGGGAGAGACATTACACTTTTACCAGTACAAGTGATGGGAAACCAGTCTATACCTGTAACAGAAGAGAAGTTCAGCACACAAAACTGCTTTGTACCCATGACCGGTTTGTACCCAGGACCAGCACAGAAGTTCAGCACGCATAGTTTGGTTTAAAAACGGTGGAACCCAGTCTAAGATTTGCTGCCCCATCAAAGGGGGAAACGTGGGCTCTGTTCTCTACCAATCTACACTACAACGATTACAGAAAACTGTGCAACTTAGGTCACTACCACCTCGGGCTTTTCGAATGTCTGTACCTGCCCTGATTCTTTCTGTTACTGTAAATTACATAGAAATTGCTCAGGGCCTATTAAATGTAATTTCCCAATAACCTGCAGGGACTTGCAATTCTTGTATGGTTCGTGTTTACTTGGTTGCTGTTAGACAGCTAATATCTGCTGAGGTAAGCCTTGTCCCCAGTGCCTGAATGCCGATCGATGATAATGGCAGTTATCGTTGGTGGATCAAGGGCAGGATATGGCCCACTCAGGACAGTAGCCACCCCAGAAAAGGCTGCTTATTTTTTACATGCTCAACCCTTTCTTACGAAGTAATATTCTGAATTTCACTTGCAAGCATGGGCCTTTCCCCCCAAATTTCTCTTTCCTTGTGCTATTCTTCACTAACTACACCTTTACCTTCAAAGATGCCGTAGGTTAGCCATTCTTCCTTTGGACAAGCCTCCCTCCACTGGCAGTTAACTCTTGGCCAAAGAATTGCTTGAGAACTACTTAAAGCTTTCAAGCCTCAATTCTCGGCCTCCTGCTTTCAGTGGGAGGGGGCAAATTTGACTCTAATGACCTAGGGACCTTCCCAGATGTTTGTGTTAGCCACAGCAGCCTCAGAGTTGCTCTAGTTTATACTCTGCTTCCCTATGGGATGTGGAGAGCATAGCATTAATTGATTCATAAGGCCAGAAGGGACTGCTGTGATCTTTAGCTTTACCTCCCACATAGCTTAGGCTGCAGTACTTTGCTGTATTAGATCCTGTTCAAAGCGTAGAATGTTTTTCAGGAAAAAAAACCCACCTTCATTCAAAAATGTCCAGTGGTAGATAATCCACCACAACCTTTGGTAAATTCTCAGTGATTAATTAATTATTACAACATTCAACAACAATTTATTCATCCAAACCTTCAGGCCATGCCTTTGCTGGAAATTAGCCTTGATTCCAGATGCCTGCTGCTGGCGCAGTCGCATATTCCATGCTTGGACTTGTTTAAGTGCAAATCACAGCTTTCTTATCTAAACCTGGTGTTTGCCCCAATCCAGTTACAGGCAGTCCTCAATTTACAATGTTTTAAGTTACAACATTTCGCACTTACGTTTATAAATTGACACCCTGTTTCAACTTTCTGACACCAGTTTTGACTTTACAATGCTTGATCTGACACCACGCCAGCGAACAAGTTTGCTGCACTGCCCATCTCCCTAGAGAACATCTGTCCAAACGTCCTTGGACACTGTCACAATGCAGGGTCCCCAGGGATGGCAGTGATGTCCTGTAGGCTCCGTGACCATGCTGGCTGCGCCCTAAGGGCACCTTCTAATCTCGTCTGCCATTTCTTGCTGGTATAAATAAAAAATAGGGATGCTGCCCTCGAGTTACAGCTCAGTCATGTTCCTGATGGACCCCCCTAAATCCAGCAGGTTATTAGACCCCTTGATGGGTCCAGCTCTCAGTAGATGACTCACAGGACACCCCAAGCCTTATGGGCTAGATGTGTAGCTCCAAAACCTTCCCTTTACCATACCCCATGCCTTGCAGGTGGTAATTAAATGTTGTCCCTTTTTATGAGGCCTCAATCTAGCTCAGCCTCCTGTCATCACTAGGACCTGGGCCCCTGTAGCAGCGCCCTCTGAGCTGGGGTCTCCACACCCAGTCACCTTTGGCGATGTGTAGGGGGTGCACACAGGTGCACACGCACCCCCTGAGTGTGGTGGTGCACCCCCTGTGAAAAGGTGCCACCGATGCTGCTGGCAGCGTCTGCAGGTGGTCACCAACCACTGGTTGGCACTTCCCACACCCCCCGCCACCAACAACGCCACGGCCTCCCTGCTTGACACCGCCACACTCCTGCTACCAATGGTGGCACCGCCTGCAGGAGCTCGCCATGCCCCCCAAGCCTCTGGGGGCACGTGATGTTCATGCTGGTCACTGCACCTTCTCTGGTGCCAGGCTCCCTGCAGCCCTATCTCCATGCCCGCACTGGCACTGGGCTTGCTGCAGCTCTGTTGTTGTGCCTTCACTGGCACTGGGCTCGCTGCAGCCCTAATGAGGCCTCCTCCTCCCCAAATAGCCTCATCCCCGTCCACTGGTGTACAAACAACAACCAGAATATGAGCCCCTGGGCTCTAACATAATACAAGCAGGGCAGAGTGCACACTGTCTCTTGAAAAGAGGCAAACTTCTCCCCGAGCACTAACTGCCTGGGTACCCGATGAGCTCCCGGAGCCCCATTAGTCCTGCAAGCAGCATATCAGGAGCCACAGCATCTCTGGGTAGTTCTTCTCTGCAGGAGCTCCTTCCCCTGACAGCTGCCAGGGAACTAACCTTTTCCAGCCCCAGCCCTGGGGCTTATAGGTGCCCAGGGCCCTGCCTTCTTCCGGTCAGCTGACCGGGTGCAGGTGCAGGGTAATTCCCTTATTAGCCTGCTCCCACAGCAACCTGCACCTGTGCTGCCTGGCTCCTAGGGCCCTCTCTCCAGGCAATTTCTGCCCTTAAAGGAGCGGGCACACTGTAGTGCCCTGCGACAGACGCTTTCTTTAAGAAAGCAGACAGGACTCCAGAAAAACCTGCAGCCAAGACTCTGAGAAGACTCCAGCCAGGAGCCCTTCAAAAAGTCCAGCAAAGTCATCTCAAATAAGTCCTTCCAAATCAACATGATTGCTATTGACAATATAACTACATTAATGTAGCTATATTACTTATCTATAATTGATTGAGTACAAAATTCTGGGGTATTTTTGGTGAAAATAGGGTATCGGGCCTTGGTTCAGGAACAACCCCCAGTTTATTACATTTCTTATGGGAAAAATTGGTTCCGAGTTACGTTTCGACTTAAGACGCAGTTTTCAGGAACCAGTTGTGTCTTAAGTCCAATGACTGCTTGTACATAGAACAGGGGTGGGCAAAATGCAGCCCATGGGCCAGATGCGGCCTGCCAGGCCATTCTATCCAGCCTACGAGGCCCCTAAAAAATTGAGAAAATTAATATTTATCTGCCCCTGGCTCCCTGTCATGCGGCCCTCGATGGCTTGCCAAAACTCAGTAAGCGGCCCTCCGCCCAAAATAATTGCCTGCCCCTGACATAAAATTAAGTCAAATTTCCAATTTAGATAAGGCCTCTGTCCCTTCCTTCCACAAATCTCCACCATCTGATATCACACCTTTGGACATGTTCTGTGGAATAATACCTAGGAATGTATCTATTTCAAATAGTTTGAGACTATCCCTGTCTCCTGTCTCCACAAGGTACAAGGTGGACATGGGTGCATTTATCTTGTTAAGAAGCAAATAGAAATGCAGCTTTAGCTATGCTGTTGTAAGTATATTGTCTTACTGAACTGCAGTGAAGAAATCAGAGATACTAAAGAATTAAAAATGCCAAAAATTCAAAATGAAAAATACATGACCTATGTGGTATCAAATAGGAGTAATTTAAAACAGACCACAAACTCTCTAGTGACCCAACAGTCAATGGAGATCCCTGAATTAAGTGGTGTGACATCAGAAACAAACCTACAATCCAGCAAGTGATTTAGTTAAGTGTTTTCTGGTCCATTCAGCCATGTGCATTCTCCAAGTTTGGTTATTTTTCAATTTAATTTATATTCTTAAACAATTAATGATCTGATAGCAGCAGCATTGTTATAGTACTATTATATACATGTCTAGCATATGTCTTGAGCTTTCACAATAAATTGCTTGTAAAAAAAGCATTGCAGTTTCTTATTTATTGTGGCAAAAATCTAATACACTCATACTTAATACAACTGTGATTTAACAAAGAAATTTTATTATGAAAATAAATCCCACTAATAACTGCCTCACCAGACATTTTGCAATTAAAGATAAAAATATGTAACAAAGGCACATGTAATGCATAATAGGAATGAGGGTAGAGAAATGGAAATGACCACATCTGAGGTGGAAGCAAAAGTCAAAGAGCTTCACCACTGAACATGGTGAAACTTGTTGGATCTGGATTTAGGACCCAGATGCCTTGTGCAGACCGACCGCGACCTGTCCATTCGATAATAGGCAAATGTATTGATACGCAGTGATAAGAGAAAAGAAACAATACAAACAATCAAGCGATTCTATATATCTACCAATTTTAGGGCTGCCATCAGAGTCAAGAAGCGTCTGGCCACAGCGCAGGCTTCACTCTAAGGCGCTCTCTTAGGTGTCAGATGTCAGCAGCCTGGAGGTGGGATGCTGAACCCTACCCCCTGCCCCCTCCCCAGTGAGGTGGATGAGATGGTTTGGTGTTTGTTCTATGTCCATGGTGGCCTTGGGGATCCTTTTCAGGAACCCTGAACCCAGGCCCCTTCTTGGAGCCCCTCTCGGGGAGGAGAAGCCAGGGAGGGACCATTTGTTACTCTCAAATCTCTCACAGATTTCATAGACATTAGAGCTGGAAGGGACCTCACAAGATCATCGAGTCCAGCCCCCTGCCCAACGGGCAGGAAGTCAGCAGGGGTCAAATGATCCCAACAAGATAGGCATCCAAGTGTTTTTTGAAAGTATCCAGAGTAGGTGCTTGCATCACCTCTGGGAGGAGTCTATTCCAGGCTGTAAGCGGGATAGTTAACTGAATTAGTTCATTCACTTACTTGATGACTTGCATAAGGTGCGTACTAGTCCCTAGGTCACAGCTGCTATTCTAATTAAGATTTTTTCTCAGCATATCCACCCTATTTTCTCCTGCCAGGACATGTGGATCAAATAAAAGAAGAGGGAGGCTCGCTGTTCTTAATTACAGTTGACCTGGGCACTAATAAGGATTTTTTTTACACTCTATTCTACTTTTGTGAGGCACTGTTATGTCTAAGCTGCTAGGACATTATCTCTGTGGTGCTCCCAGTTATCTTACGCTTATCATTAATTTTTGGTGGGCTGCAGGACTGTGAATCCCTGTATTTTCCACAGGTACACTTGTCCTGAAACACCGCTACTCACGGTTGGTTGTTTCCCACTTCTTCAGGTTCCCAGGCTGAAATTCTCGTTGCCTTGCCGGATGTCACTGATAGCGTTCTCTTCTTACCAAGTGTAGGTAAGTATAGAGACTCCTCCGAGTGTCAGGAAGAGAGAGTCTC